GGAGGGTACGATTTCACAGGAAGGAGAGACAACGCACGTTTAAGATATAATCTCGAGAAATTTTAGTTTTTCCTTTTTGAGTTCTGACGGGATTTTGCGCTTTGCTATGCACCGAAACCGAGGATATGAGGTATATGTATGCAGATCTTATGAATTCCTCTTTTTCTTATATTTTTTTCTTCTTCTTCTTTCGTTTGCCTGACGATATTAGGGAAAAGTCGACGGATCGACGAGCAATCCAACGAAATTTCATTTGAGTAAAGGAAGGTTCCCTCCTCTCCACGGCCCCCGCATATATTTAATACTCGTTTTTGTCCTTTTTTTTTCCCCTGTTACCAGTACGCATGCGCGCGTCAACGAGGTGGTGCGCGCGACGCGCGCATGCGTGTCGTGACAGTTATTACTCTTTTTTTTTTTCTTATCATCATCATCATCATTATCATCATCATCATCATCTTCATCATTATCATTATCATCGTCAGAATGATCATCTTCACTTTCTGTTCCTTAACTATAGCAGGCGGCTTCCGGCAACCATGATCGCCCGATCCGATCGATTCCCCGTTCGATTCGTCGATCGAAGAAACGACGAGCTCAGAAAGTATTTATCTTAAAGTAGTACTTATTCATCAAATTTTTTCCAACACGTACGACGATATTACTTTCTGATTGGATTGACGGGCTTTTTTGGGCGGATATGACTTAACACTTCGCGGATATTTTCTGTACTATGTTACAATATAATGTAATTATCGAGATGACACGAATCTTTCTCGTAACACGTTTTACAGTCGCGCGCGCTTCGTTCGATGTCCGATTGCTCCGTGTTGTGTATGTGTGTGTGCTTTTTTTTTGTTTCCTCGAAGTGTTTAATTATATTAGCTTTGAGAATTTTCTTTCTGGAAATCGACCGATCGTTTCTTGAACGGCATCGACGAATCGTGATTTTTTTTTTATAAAACATTGCGCGTACAACGTGAAACGTTTTCAAAGCACCCATTTAGTTTCTATCTCACTAAACCTTTCCGTATATAACCTCAAAATAAATCACTTCGTCCGAGATCACCATCACAATTCGTCAAATCCTGATCTTGATCTCGATCGTCGAGCGTATTCACGGCTGCGACGAAGTGCCTTCGTCTCATTCTCTCCCTCTCTCTCTCTCTCTTTCACGCTTTATCTCTCTCTCTCTCTCTCTCTCTCGCTTTCTTTATATTCTAAATCGTTTCTTTTTCATCTTTTTTTTTCTTTTTTTTGGGAACATATTGTGCCTACTGTTGTTACCTTGTTCATCATTGGTTGCAATTCACAACCACGTAATCATCGCCACAATCATCGCCTGTCATTGTCATCATCGTTCTTTCACAATATAATCACCGAAATTTCGTTATATTATCATCATCATCACCGTCTCGTGTCTCTTTGTGTCATTCACCCTCGCTCACTCTCTCACTCTCTCACTCTCTCTCTCTCTCTCTCTCTCTCTCTCTCTCTCTCTCTCTCTCTCTCTCTCTCACTCTTTCTCTCTATCTCGTGCTCTCGTTTGCCCTTGCTCTCTCTCTCTTTCTCTCTGTACCAAACTTGCACTCTGTCATTTTCTCTCTCCCTTTCGTTCTCTCTCTCTCTCTCTCTCTTTCTTTTTTCGCCTTCGGAATTTTCATAGTTTTTTTTTTTTTCTTTATGCAACACATAATGCGACTAGGTAGTACAGGTTAATTAATAATTAATATCGTTAGTTATACAATAATAACGTATGACTAGACAATGCAAGATAATAATTATATCGTAAATAGTAATAATCATGGATCGCAATTTATATCAACAATTGTGATGGCGCGCACGTGTTCTCGAGAATATTGTTGTTGTTTATTTATTTATTTATCTTTTTTTTTTCATTTTGTTTCTCATTAAATCATCTTTATGTGTACGTTGTGTGCCTCTGTGTGCGTGAATGGTCTCCTCTTCTTGTACGTGTAAGTGCATGTAATTATGTATAATCTGTGTGGCCTATGATCGCAATGCAGATTAGATTCGTGTGGTATGTCGAATGTACTATATAACCTGTTCGTTATATCGTCCGTAACTTCAATTTCGTCCGATGCAAAAAGGTACAAGAGTATATTTTTAGTCTGTTAGATGTCGCCTCTCTTCTGTTATGTCGTGTGTGTGTGTGTGTGTGTTCAAGAGTATATTTTTAGTCTGTTAGATGTCGCCTCTCTTCTGTTATGTCGTGTGTGTGTGTGTGCGTCTGTGCACCTACATCTGTATCGAAGTTTTTTGTCACGTGTACATACGTGTTTTGTGTGGCATAGAAAAAGTAGAGATTAGCAAGATTCTTGTAAATTCGTGTAAATATTCAACAGATCTCTAATTCATTTACCCCCACAATGGCAGATTCGTATATGAACCGGAGAATGTATCGAGGCAACGACGAAGAATGCTCGACGGAATCAACAGGAACGAACATCATCCCCATCGTTGTTTCCTCGAGAAATGAATTCTGTTCCCTTATGCGTACCATAACCGCATGTAAAATACGTAT